TGGGCTCCGAAAGGCATTTTTCTAATCTGTGTTATTCCTGGCGTCAGCTCGATTTTCATCAATCGGAATCCTAAAAGCAGATGATTAACAGAAATCAAATTGACTAACTGGCGGTGAATTCCCTGTTCTAGGTTTCAAGAGAGGAATACGTTCATCAATTAGGAGTATGTCTTCGACGAACTACTCATCGGTTGACAAGGAGATGATACCTGAAACAGAAGTTCGACAAGTTGAATTACCTAACGAAGTTGAAGATTTGTATGGAGGAGTGACTCTAAGTGTGGAGCAGTCTATGGATCCAACGGTCTTCCTTAATTTGCTTAGGGTTTCGCTGTCAAAATGGAAGCAGCAGGTACTCCGTTTCTTCGCCTTCTCTTTACTTCCATTTTAAAGACTGACTACATAAAATTGTGAGATAGAACTGTGCGACCATTTTTAATCATTATTTTATTATACATTTTTACTATTTACCTTTCTAAACGTTTTTTTTTTTTTTTACTATTTACCTTTGTTGCTACGTCATGTGGTTGATTTTAGATATTGAAAATAATAATTTATTCTTTTTACATTTAACGACATTTTCATTGTCGATTATCAAGCTTTCTTTTTAGGAAAAAAAAAAAAATCGAAATCATCCACAATGGTCATTTTCCTTTTTATTTTTCATCTACCAAACATGTATATAATATACGTACTTAATTATAAATATATTTACAAATTAGACACTATAAAATGTTGTCTCATATCAGACCAAGTCTATCTTCCTAAATAATTTACTTTTCTCTTTTTGTCAAATAGTTTTATGCTCTCCTTGGTTAATTTTCGTTCAATTAGTAGTTTTAATTTTTTTATTTTTACTCTTTATATCCAGTAAAAATATGATCTTTTATGTTTGAGTTGTGGTTGCATCCCCACATCCAGAGAATTCAACATGAGCCTTCAAGTGATCTTAAGCCTTTTTGTAACCTATTGTGATTTGCTCCCCCTTTACTCACGTCACTTTTGTCCTGGGAAATCAATATACATTTGAAAATCTGATATTATCCTGTGAGTTTAGGTGTTTGGATGGTGATGACAAAGTACATAAAAATGTACATTTACAAACAGAGTTTATCCAACAACGAATTCAAACAACTTTGCTTACTTGTATAAACTTTTGCAGGGAAAGAAGGGGATCTGGATTAAGTTGCCTCTTGAACAGGCTAGTCTAGTTGAAGTTACAGTGAAGGTAAGTGAACATTTTTTGACAGATATATGAGAAGAGCTGCATAGTATATAAAGTTGTTGAGGTAAATGCATATCCTGGACAGCTTATCAATTTTATTTTATTAATTGTGCAGGAAGGATTTAAGTATCATCACGCTGAACCAGATTACCTAATGCTTGTTAAATGGATTTCTGATGCTCCTGATACTATCCCAATAAACGCTTCACATCGTGTAGGGATTGGTACTTTTGTCATGAATAGCAACAGAGAGGTATCTTTCCCCCCTGCAATTCACATTTTCGTTTTCTAGGAAATTAGAGAGATTTCTAAATGCTTTTTTCTTTCCGCACATAAATTCTTATACTCATTCAATTTTTGAAATACAAAACTTTAACCTGCTACCCATAATGTTTTTTGGCTTCAAATCTACAATTTTGATTTTTTAAGCTCTCTGTGGATGGTTACACTAGTTATCCCTCCATATGATTGACCATGTCCAGGCTTGATTTTGGCCCTATTTCACCATATGATTGACCATGTCCAAGTCTGGGAGTTGCTTATCTTGCTGAAATTATTTTTAATGTAGGTGCTTGTTGTTCAGGAGAAAAGTGGTGCGTTCAAAGGCACTGGTGTGTGGAAGCTACCTACTGGGGTTGTTGATGAGGTGAGTGGATAAACATATGGTCTATGCTTCTCTATATTTTTTTCATCAGAGATAAAAATTTTCATTTCCAGGGCGAAGATATATGTGTAGCTGCAATTAGAGAAGTAAAAGAAGAGACAGGAGTAAGTAATTAATAAGCACTTAGCTTTTAGGCTTGAATAAATATGGTGTAGTTTCTAGTTTCAGGTTGGGCTAGTTTAATCCAAGACCATTGATTTGTTTTGTTTCAGATTGATGCAGAATTTGTGGAAGTTTTAGCATTCAGGTAAGAAATTTGATCCGTATCACGTAATGCTACATTCATCTACTGATATTTATGCTATATATGTTAAAAATGGTCTGTTTTGCTTATATTCTTTTTAGATTTTCAGATTATTCCGATTCTGTTTTCAATTTCAATTTCTGCAATTTTATAGAAAGATAGTAACAGAAGAAAATTAATGTATCTTTAAATCTGAATTTTTAATTTATAAGAACAAAAGTTTGGATTTATTTGTTTCAAATTTCTCTATGAATTCTTGTTGAACTAAGAAAGTATTTAGATCAGTTTAGCCGTTTAGTCTTTCTATTCTGGAAACCAGTAGCAGCACCCTGTTGATCTTAGAGGGAGAAAAGCTGTGAGAGAGACTTAGCACAAAATGTTGACGTGAATTTACTCAAAATGGACTCTGCCAATTGTTTATCTCCACTTCCTGTATTCACGGGTGAAAATTATCTGCTTTGGGCAGCCAAATTACCCTTTCCTGCAAGCTTTTGACTTGTGGGAAGTGGTGGGAACTGACAGGGATCCACCTAATCATTGTCAGCTAATCCAACTATTGCTCAATTTAAGCATCACAGTGAGGAAAAGACAAAGCAGTTCAAAGCAAAAAACTGTATTTACTCTTCAATTCCTGAAACATTTTCACAAGAATCGTTGCTTCTGAAACTGCAAAACAAGCTTGGGATTCACTTGAGAAGATTTCCAAGGCAATAACAGATTGAGCAAATGCTGATTTTGACCTTAGAAGGGATTAAGGAATATTCTCAGAGACTGATGACTACCGTCAACAAAATTAGATTGCTTTTTCTGATAGAAGAATTGTGGAGAAGAGACTTGTCAGCCTACCTGAGAGGTTTTTTGTCAAAGATATTCTCCCTGGGGGGGTTCTAGAGACCATTCACTGATAACCTTTTCTAGAGCTAATAGATGCATTTCAAGCTCAGGAATAGAGGAGAGCCATAAGGAAAGAAGTGACTGAAGGAGAATTTCAGGCTAAAGGAATGGAGAATTTCTAATTAAATTTGAATCTTTGATTTATTTAGATCCTTAGGATGGAAACTTGGACTTGATTGTTTCAAATTTCTCTATGTGTTACTGCTGAAAAAACAAAATATTTATAACAGTTCAGCCTTCTAATTTTTCTATCACAACATATATAAGCTCCATGGATAGTCTTCCGTGCACGCAAAAATACTGCAGGTTTCTAGAAAATCATACTGGCATATCTTTTTCGTACATGTCTAAAGACATTGTCTATCTTCTGCACGCCTGTATAAGTGTTTTACAATTAAAGACTCACAACTTTCTTTTTTCACTGGTTACATAAGACAAAGCCACAAGTCATTCTTTGGCAAGTCGGATTTGTTTTTCCTTTGCATGTTACGGCCATGCTCCTATGACATCCAGATGCAAGATTCAGAGCTTGAGGCTGCTCAGGTACTCCCTTGTAGCAAATGATGGAAGTAATTACCTCATGTTTGATAATTGATACATATGCTCGGTTCACTGTAAATACTAGGAAAAATGAGCAGATCATAATGCATCTTTCCTTTGACATATTTCTAGAACATCTTTGTGTGATTGAAGCGTTAGAGAGAGGTTACATTGACAGAGGTTGTTTCTAAAACAAAATGTTTCACAGAAGTAATCTCTTTTCCGTTCTCCCTTTTTCAGTGGATGCCAATTACGGACTATGCAGCCCAATCTTTTAACAAAAGAAACGAATTGTTTAATTATGTGGCCCAAATCTGTGTAACAAAGTCGGAGAAGGATTACCATGGCTTCTCTCCAGTTTCTGCAACTACAGGCTCTGGCAAAAGGAGCTATCTATACTTCAACACAGGCTCTGGCAACCAATAACTGACCTTTTTTCTAATCAATAAGATTGTCTTTTCCGAGGAAATCATATAATAACGTTAAATTGTATCTTTTTTTAGTATTGCAGTCTTTCAACAAGTAACAAAAAGTTTTAATAACTTATAATCACTTTTCTCCTCATCTTTTACTGGTTGCACAGCCTGACTTGTGCTCTTCGTCGGTGTGATCATTCTGGAATCATTATGCAGAATCAATATCCAAAAGTCTCCATTCAGAATTCCTTTTCCTTTTTTTTTTTTTTTTTCCATTCTCTATATTCTCTCTATCTATCTAACAGCGAAGGTCGGGTTCTTATGAGTCTGAGATCCTGACAAATAAACTGTGGGAGGGATAAGATATCACTTCATTTTGCTTTCCTCTCAACCAACCCAAATGGTTTAATGTTAAAAAAGCCATCAAATTAAATGCATTTTGTAGTTTCTAGAAAAATGTATGTTGCATCTTTTAAGGTAAACATTTCGTTGTAATACCACTTTGGTAGACTACAAAGTTAAGGTAGTAAAATCAATAAAGAAAAAAACAATTCATTGTCTTCCTTGCAACTGTCTACACTTATAATATGCACTTTTTCTCTCACATTTCAATCCGTATTTGAAGTGACCGTTGGCATACGTGCCCTGGGTAATAATGTAATTTCAATTTTATTTTTTTTATAGTTTTCCCCCTCCCTAGTGACTCTAAATTAGAGTCATGCAAAGGTAAAAACTTTCCTCTTCCTCTCTTCCCCTCCCCTTCCCTCATTTCCGGCCATACAAACACACCTTGTTTTATAATATTGAAGATGGAGATTGGTTGTAGCAGTGCAGGTAGCACCCACCACCATTTTATAAAGGCATTTTAATATTAATCTAAAATAATGAAAGCACTTATAATAACCATTATGTTAACATCCGAATAAATTTCCACACAACCTATCATTTTAATATTGCATTAAACAAACAGATTAGCAAACGTAATACACCACCATTTGTTTGATTGTCTTTCTCTACGTTATTAATCTTTTTAAATTGAAGATTAAATTGAATTTTTTTTTTTTAATTTCTTTTTATTATTATTATTATTTGAATAAGTCAGGATTTATTGAAAGGAAATCCAATTTATTCAATACAATCAACTTAATTATAACAATCTCATATATTGAAAATAATTTTAATAATTTAAGAGCGCGTAGTGGTTTGCCCAGATGACACTTTTATCACCTAAAAGTTCGGTAGGTTGACAATGTAAACAAACTATATATACAAGTAATAGAAGCCCTGAACAGAATATATCACCATCTCTTTTCACTGATTACTCACTCCTGTGAAGGTCTGAGTCATTTCCGGAGACATGTCTTCTTCTACGCAAGGCAAATGGGTTAAGGTTTGACCTTTCCTCTTTCTCCTTTCCGCGTCATGATTATATTGGTCACAAAGACTGTTGTTGTTTGCTAGAAATTCTTGGTCACAAAAGACTAAAAACTTGTTTTTTCAAACGATATTCATGGTGGATTTCGTTGTTTTTCTTAGTGAATTCTCCTAAATTTCATCGAACCGTAAAGTAATTCTCATGGATTTTACTGATTCTAGTGATTTGGATTTGTATATAATTTTCCCGGGTTCCTTCAGTTTATTCCAATTGTAGCACTACGTATTTTCTTTTTCACCTTACAAGTTTCGTAATTTCTCTTTCTTATCAGCTTGAACAGAAGGGAATCGGGCCTGGTGCCAGAAGCTCACACGCCATCACCGTTGTAGGACCCAAAGCCTATGCCTTCGGTGGCGAATTCTCGCCACGTGTCCCAGTCGACAAACACCTCTACATATTCGATCTCGAAACCCGATCATGGTCGGTGGCAGATGTCACCGGGGACATTCCTCCGCCGCGCGTAGGCGTCACAATGACATCCGTAGGTGACACCATCTACGTATTTGGAGGAAGAGACGGTACCCACAAGGAGCTCAACGAGCTCTACTCTTTCGACACAAGTACAAACAAATGGACCCTTCTCTCTTCCGGCAACACGGGACCGGCTCACCGGAGCTACCACTCAACAGCGGCAGATGATCGACACGTGTACATATTCGGGGGATGTGGCGTTGCGGGGCGGCTCAACGATCTATGGGCGTATGATGTGGTTGATAAAAAATGGGTCGAGCATCCCAGGCCCGGAGAGAGTTGTAAAGGAAGAGGCGGGCCTGGACTGGTTTCTGGTGGAGGAAAGATTTGGGTTGTGTACGGTTTCTCCGGCATGGAGATGGATGATGTGCATGTTTTTGATCCAGCGAGTGGGGAATGGGCCGAAGTGGAGACAGCAGGGGAGAAGCCGACGGGCAGAAGCGTATTTTGCACGGTGGGAGTCGGGAAATATGTAATTATATACGGCGGGGAAGTGGACCCGAGCGACTTGGGGCATATGGGTGCCGGGAGATTTTCGGGGGAGGTGTACGGGTTGGAAACGGAGAGGTTAGAGTGGACGAAATGGGAAGATAGGGTGGGGTTAGGCGGGAATCACCCTGGGGCTCGAGGGTGGTGCGCTTTCTCCGGCGGACGGGTAGATGGGAAAGAGGGATTACTGGTGTACGGTGGCAACTCTCCGACGAATGATCGGCTCGGCGACATTTTCTTTTTCAGTCCTAATTGTGAGGTTTTATCCATGGACTTGTTGAAATTGTGAAAGAACTTTTTCAGTTAAAATAAAGATTCTCGATGGCGAATTTACAATTTTTTCTCGTGGTTTTTGTCATTGTTGAAAATTCGGAAGTGTTTTTCTTTTTTTTTTTTTTTCCGAATTTTGATTAATAAAACTTGGAAATCAGTTTTGATCTGTTCTTGTTTATGAGTTCAAATATGCTAATGTTCTAAAACATAGGGATAAATTTTATTTAAAATTTAATTTTACAGAATATGAACGGGTAAACATTAAATATAGTAAAAAATTCAATAAAAATAATATTTTAATTCCAAGTCAATTATGCTTTTGATTCAATTCTTCAACTGTCAAAGTAAAAACATAGATAGAATTTTTTCAATTGTTCAACAAATATAAAATGATAGACTATTTTTTATATATCAAATAATTTAAAATTATGAATTTATGAAAATAAAATAGATTTGAAACAAAACCAACAAATTGTTCATATTCCATGTGTAATGTAACAAAAAAAAAACAAAACAAAACAAAACATAATATATTAAACTACTACGAAATATTAAATAATATAAACTTCGATAAAAAAAATTGAAGTAAAAACTTAAATCAAATTACTTTATAGCATGGTGATACATTTATACAAAATTTCTAACTCAGAGCACATACAATAGAGCTTTAGACAGTTAAATAAAATTCAATCTACAAAATAATTTGATTTATGGACAGTATCGTTATGTTAAATATTATAACGCCAAAGGAATCATTACTGCAAGGTATAGAGAGGGCCATCATATATGGTAGAATCATAACTATAGAATATAACTATAATTGAAATGCATATATTTATCTCATACACTATGGGGATACTGAGAAAATATATATTTTGCATCCTAGAGGGACTATAACTGAAAACTTTAGCATTTGGCAAATTGATTTGATGGACAGAAAACCCAGTAGTTCCTTCACTCGTCCAAGAAAGATTGGTTGAATTAACCTTCTTTTTTATAGTTTTATGTATTCACTTATGCAGCTGCTTTCTTGATTGCCCTTATACAAGGCAAATTTAGTTAATTGTTGTATTTGTGATAATATGATTTATGTTAATATTTTTAATAGAGAAGAGTGTAACATCCTTGCCTATTACAATACTAAAATAATTTAAATTTTTTATTTATTTGAATTTTTAGTTGTCTTAACTTTAAATTAATTTATATTATTTAATATTTTTTTATATTCGTAATTTTGATCTATTTTTATTTTTATTTATTTTATTAATTATATTTTTATTTTATTTTATTCTAAAAGAAAAATTTAGAAAATAAAAAACGACGAAATGAGAAAAAACCTGCTTGCGGGAAAAATCCCGCGAGAAAGCAATTTGCCCACACGAGTGTTGGGCATTGTGCGCACGTGCATGTGCGCACATCCCATCTGTGCGTACAGCGCAGGGTCAGGACCTGCGCGCACGTCCTATTATGCACAGGTGGTCATCCGCGCAGCAGGCCTGTACGGACAGGTTTTGTGCGCATGGGGCTTGCGCGCAGTAGGCTTGCACGCGCGACAGCAGGCATGTGCTAGCCTATAATGCGTTAGCCGAGCACTGCCACCTCGGGTAGTGCACCACCGCTGCCACCGGTGGGGGAAATTTTCTCCCTCATTTTTCATATCAATAATCTTTTTTCCTCTCTTTTCATCAGATTTCGCCACTTGGTGCGAATCCAACAGTTTTGAAATTTTATAAATTGCTCTTCCCCTTCCTTCCTCTCCACAATTTCATTTCTTCAATTTTTTTCAAAGGTTTAGAGAGAGAAAGAGAGAGAGAGAGATATATATATATATATAGAGTAAATTAGTGAGAGAATAAGAGAAAGAAAGAAAAACAGTGAATGAGAAAACATCAAGGTTTTGGTAAGAAATCTAATTTTACTTTCAACATCTTAAGAAATATTTTTAAATAAACAAATTTAATATGATTGTTATTTTGTCAACTTTACATGCGTTCGTATTTAAATGAATCGAATTGTTCTGATTTTCAAACATGTTATGTGATTTACTAACACTTGATGAATTTGCATGTATTATATGTAAAACGTAGTCCGTAATAGTAAAAGTAAAAAGAAAAACAAAAGAAAAGAAAAAAAGTAAAATGAACACTGTATAGTCCGAAGTGTATCTGTATTGATATGCATATTTCTTCAAGTATGTCGTTAGTCTTTTTATCTCTGAGGAGTATTTGTTCTCCTTACCCTTCGGGGTATCTGTTTCTCCCTCTCGTATCTGGTTTAGAAAGACATAAGAGGACTGCTCCCAGTGGATGACGGTGTATCCTCTAACGAGAGTGGTATCGCACTGTCTGTAGAGGTCACTCGTGTTTAAGTAATATCGTAACTATAGATATCTGTTAGAACTATTATTGTTAGTACGGCTATGATTATAGATCGTAATATGGTTTGGCCAGCTTGAAGTGAGTCTGAATAAATTGTCGTATATGTATCTAATCTGGTCATTCCACTTGAGTAGTTGGAAATATGTATATGCTCTCAGATATGAAAGTATGTAACGATTTCACGAAACATGGCACAAAAAATCTGTACATTTCATGATTTATTTGATTTTCTCGATTATTTGGCATAATATATGTATATTTGATTTTCTATGCTAACTTACTATTTTGATATTCAAATAAGTGATATTTTTTTCCTATTAATGAGTTAGGTAAACAATGAAGCTAAACAGTAAGATAAAAAAATATACTTTTAAAATCTTACGATATTAATTTAATACTGTTTTTTTTATTGAGCATATGGAACTCACTTTTTTCATCCCTCCCCCCCTTCAAATGAGGAACCGTAGCAGACTTACCCTTGAAAGTCTATGAGGATTCCATGGATCCACAAGTCTGAGTGCATGACTGTTCTCGCACTCTAATAAATTCCAGTAACATAGTGAAAGAAATTACCCTTATGTTTTATATTTTGTAGCTACTTCCATTCTCAGTGATATATGTATTTAGAACATTATATATATTTGTAAGGGATTTGTTAAGGTTTGATTCTGCTGCATAAATATTATCATGTACTCGTTATTCTAAATCTGTATATGACACTCATTTGTCTTAATTAACACCTGAGATGTCACAAAAAGGGTATGTCTTCTTATATTTATACATCTCGGATATAATTTATATCATTATCATTGATAATAAGAACTGAAGCATTATGACAAATACAAGTTTAATTCATAAGGAGGAGTGGGGGGGTAAAAATTAGAACAAAAATATTATTTGATTCGTCAATCATAAAAAACAAAAATAAGCAAAGTTTCATTCTTTTATACATTTAAATAATTAAGTGTCATTTACATGTTAATAATATTATAATTAACTTTCTAACGAGTAGACATACATATATAATTAGGTTCCAACTCATAATTTAGTATATATAAATAAAAATATTAACTATTAAGTTAATAAATACAACTGTAATGAAATTAATATAAAATAAAACTATATTTTTTCTGATTATATTTTGATGTTAAAAATTAATAATAAAAAAATTAGAAGAAAAATTATTTTTTAGTTAATGAAATAATAATACTTGTATACTCATGTTACTACCTCCATCTTAAGATAATGAAATACATTTAAAGTAATACCTTTGAAACAATAGCACCTCTAAAATGGGTGCCAAAATCAACTCAAGCAATGCTCTTGAATGCTTCCTTACACATTTGGCTCTCGTATTTTTGATCCATTGTAACCTCTTCTCGTCTTCATTTTCATATTTCAAGAAAACTTGCTAGTTCGAAGTTGGTGAATATTAAAAAGAAATCGATATTCTCGACTAATGCTTTTATTTTTTTTGCCATGATAGACTTTATATAATAGCATGTTTAAACCCTCTAACCCTTCTTCATCAACCCCTATAATGGAAACCCAACTGAACTCTAGAAATTTATAACACAAATGTACATTTCTTTTCATCAAAAGATACACGTGTTGACAAGCATATATACATATACATGGTCTTCGTTATAACTTAAATAATCGAGAAATAACCTATAAGTCTACCTATATTTAGCATATTATAATAAAAAAAAGATAATTGTTAAAAAATGTTAAGATAGAAATTGGACAATGACAAAGCATATGTATTTGAGTTCACAAATAGATCATAATAATCCAAAAAACATGATTAATGTATTAAGACTACTAAATACACTTTCCATTATGGTCTCTAATATCATAGATGTTATTATAAAAAGTCGAAATACATTAATATTATGCAATTTTAGTGGGAATGAGAGATAAAATATTTTATATATTCTATTAAACTAAAATTATTATTGAATAGGATAATATATTATAATATTAGTATATCACAGAGCTTGATAGATAAAGTGGGATTATGTAATCCTTTTCATATCTTCCTATATGCCTTCTTAAATTCTTAAATAATGTAATTAGGTGGCATATACTTTAGTTATAGAGAAGTTTAAATTCTAATCATATTATGTGATTTTATGTTTTTCTAACAAAACTTTCATATCCAAAGTTAACTAATACATAAGATGCATATTATTGTTTTTTTTTTAAAAAAAGGAAACTAAGGAAACATTTTAAAAATGACATATAAAGATAGTGAATCTCTATGTTTTAATCATAAAAAACATCTTTTAAATCATGTTGAACAAAACTACTAATCTATGAAAATGAGTACTTTTATTTTGAAAATTAAGTGTTTTTTTAAATAAGAGAAAAATCAATGGTCACAACATTTTTTATTTCGTTCTTTCAGATCAGATAAAAAATATAGCTTTTAACTGTACATTTATTTTTTTGTATAAATATCAAAGAAAGATTGAAGAATTCCATTTTATACTTAAAAAATTTAAACAAAAAATATTTGGTAAAAGATAAGTGATTGAAAAATATATTTCAAATATATTTTAACATTTCTTATTTTTAAAATATAATAATAGTATGTTAAGCATAAATGTATTGATTATGTGTGCATGGCGGCTTTGTCGTTAATATTGAATTATTTGTTATGGTTTGAAAATCTTACTAAATTTATTTATTTTTAAAACATTAATAACATTTTCAATTGTACATTTATTAATTATGAAATATAACTAATTGATTGTTATATATTTACTACGTGTACAATTAATTTACTATGTATACAGTAAATAGTTAAAATAAGATAAAATTATATGTTATAATTAATATATTTACTCCCAAAATATTCACGTTAAAAAATAAATATTATTTGTATCAATACTAATTAATTATAATCTAGGTGCACTTAGTTTTAAAATTAAATATTTGTTAGAATGTTACATTCACATTTTTCAAAATATATTAATATTATTTAGTTAGAATATAACTGTATTAAATTTATCCAAATTATGCACTATAAACTACTTTGAACTATTTAATTCTTGATTCAATTGTATAATATTTTTTATTTTATAAAAAAATTATGAATTTAAATCAAAATGAATATTCTATATATTTTTATTGAAATATTCTTAATGTATAAATAGTAATTAATTAATAAAATATATAAAATTTTTTAAAAAATATTTTTCTGGGTATAAACACAAGAGAATCAAAGTTCACTTAGCCAAAGAATCGAAGTGCGCTCACATCTCAAGTAACATTTAAGGAAGCTAGGGAAGTACGCCCTCAACAGCTACTAAAACTGACAGCCGTAGCGATGCGCCATTAAATGTATATTATTTTTCCCAATACAATCACCAACTACATAAGAAATTCATTTATCAACGTAGATACTGCACAGCTCTCTATCTCCATTTTCCTCAAAAACATATAATAATGCACAGCTGACCCAAAACTCAGCTTATTTATATATATATATATATATATATATGTATAAAGGGCAAAAGACAGAAACCAGTGTGCATTTACAGATCAAACTCACATCATTTATACATACAGAAATGACAAATA